TTTTTTATATATAATTTATATTAATATTTAAGAAAATACTCAAGCAATTAATTTATTGAAATGAAAAAAAAATATTCCTAAATTTTTTTTTCAATAGAAAACAACAACAACTAAATCCAGTCGTCTCAGGTTCAAAAAATATATAAAAACTATGAAAAATAAGATATTTTTTAAAACCATAATTAAAAAAAAATTTTTTTTGAATTAAAAAAAAAAAATAAATATATATTTTTTAATAAATTTAAAAAAATATATATTTTTTTCAATATACATTTTTTAAAAAAATATAGTTTTTTAACAATTTTTTTTTGAAATTATTTAAAAAAAATATTTTTTGAAATTATATATTTTTTTGAAATAATTTTTTGGAATTATTAATTATTAAATATATATTTTTTTAATAAATTTAAAATATATATATATTTTTTCAATATAAATTTTTTTTAAAATATACTTTTTTAAAAAAAATATTTTTTGAAATATTTTTTTTAAAAAATTTTTTTGAAATTATTTAAAAAAATATATTTCAAATTATTTTTTTAAAAAAACATTTTTTGAAATTATTTTTTAAAAAATACATTTTTTTTAAATACATTTTTTTAAAAATACATTTTTTTAAATATATTTTTTTAAATATATTTTTTTAAATATATTTTTTTAAAAATATTTTTTTTAAATATATCTTTTTAAAAAAATATTTTTTTACAAATATATTTTTAAAAAAATTTTTTTTTAAAAATATATTTTAAAAAAAAATATATATTTAAAAAAAATGTATTTTTAAAAAATTTTTTTTTAAATTTTAATTATTTTTTTAAAAATACATTTTTTTAAATATATTTTTTTAAATATATTTTTTTTAATATATTTTTTGTAATATATTTTTTTCAAAGGCGTAGATTTTTTTAAAAATATATTTTTTTACAAATATATTTTTTTAAAAATATATTTTTTTACAATTATATTTTTAAAAAAATATATTTTTAAAAAAATGTATTTTTCAAAAAATAATTAAAATTAAAAAAAAAATAATTTCAAAAAATAATTTTTTTAAAAAAAAAATAATTCCAAAAAATATTTTTTTAAAAAAAAAAAAAATTTCAAAAAATATTTTTTTTTGAAAAATTTCAAAAAATATTTTTTTTAAAAAAATAATTTCAAAAAATATTTTTTTAAAAAAATAATTTCAAAAAATATTTTTTTTTTAAATAATTTCAAAAAATATTTTTTTAAATAATTTCAAAAAATATTTTTTTTAAATAATTTCAAAAAATATTTTTTTAAAACTATATTTAAAAAAAAACTAAAATTATATTTTTTGAAGTTATTAAAAAAAAATATTTTTTTTTTTTATTTTTTGAAAGTTATGAAATTAAGTTAAAAAAATATTTTTTGGAATTATTATTTTCTTCAATTTTTTGAAATATTATTTTTTTAATTATTAAAGAAATTAAAAAACAAATTTGCCAAATTAAATATTGAAAGTAATTCTAATTTTGTAGCTTATAAGTCGAATACTAAAAAATATTAATTGTAAGTTCCTTTTTGAAAGAAGAAGACAAAGAAAACGATAAAATATTGAAAAAAAAACAACAACTACTCATTGAAATATATCTATTTTTTATACAAATCTCTATATACAAAACGATAACGCATTCATTAAGAAGTGATAACAAATAGTTTTTAAAACAAACCAAATACATACATAAATAACTAAGAAAATAGAAACCTGTGAAAACAGTACAATTCACTATGAGAATAGAATAGATATGTAAGACCATAACAAAGAAAAAAAGAAACTGAGAGAAAACGAAGCAAAAACTACAAAAAAAATTTTATAAAAAAAAAAAAAAAAGAAAAAAAATTGAAACCCAAAGAAGAAAAACCAAAAACTATTGCGATAATATATAAGAAAAACGAAAAACAAAGATATTGTTAAAAACAGTAAAACATACATACATATACTCATATACATATTTATACATACATATATACTATATATAATTTAATAATTATTCTCTAATTTATTTTTGTGTAATAATAATATTTAATTTTATATATATAAAAAAAATTGGGAAATTTATGTAAAAATTAACAAAAATTAGGCTTTTTTTTAGATGTATTCTTTGTAAATTTTCAATTTCCAACAAAAAAATCAATGTTCGAAAAATTCGAAGTTAAGTTCGAAATTGAATTTTCCATAAATTTGATGACAAAATTGTATATTCTAATGATATTTGTAATAGTTTTAAGATTTCTGCTGATTTTTTGCCAAAAATTCAATATTCGAAAAATTTTGCAGATTTTCGAAATGGAATTTTTTGTTCTTAAACTTATATAAAATTCTTAAATGTGTGAATGTAATAATGTATAATTGTTTAAAAATTATTTTTAATGATTTTTACACACAAAAAATCAATGTTTGAAAATTTCGTAATTTTTTCGAAGTTAAATTTTCTTGTCTAAAATCGATTTTTTATAACTCTTTTTATTTTATTGCCTTTCCTGTGAATTTTCATGTGTTTTAGATGATTTTGCGATGGAAATTTTATGTTCGAAAATTTCGAAACTTATTCGAAGTTAATTTTTCCTTGTCTAAAATCGAGTTTTAATAACTTTTATTACTTTTCCTGTGAATTTCCATGGGTTTTTAGATGATTTTTAAGTGGAAATTTAATGTTCGAAATTTTCAAAATTTTTTTCGAAGTTAATTTTTCTTGTCGTTTTTACAACTTTTATTGCTTTTCTTGTGAATTTCCATGGGCTTTTAGATGATTTTTAACTAAAAATTCAATGTTCGAAAATTTCGAAGTTATTTTTTCATGTCTAAAATCAAGTTTTAATAACTTTTATTGCTTTTCCTGTGAATCTTAATGTGGTTTCATGGTTTTTTGATGATTTTTCGATAGAAATTCAATGTTCGAAAATTTCGAAATTTTTTTCGAAGTTAATTTTTTTTGTCTTAGATCGAGTTTTAACAACTTTTATTACTTTTCCTGTGAATCTTAATGCGTTTTACATGTGTTTAAGATGATATTTCAATGGAAATTCAATGTTCGAAAATTTCGAAATTTTTTCGAAGTTAATTTTTCATGTCTAAAAACGATTTTTTTAGAACTTTTATTGCTTTTCCTATGAATTCTAATGGGTTTTTAGATGAATTTTAAGTGGAAAATTTAATGTTCGAAAATTTCCAAATTTTTTGGAAGTTAATTTTTCATGTCTATAATCAAGTTTTAACAACTTTTATTACTTTTCCTGTGAATATGAATGTGTTTTACATGATTTTTAGATGATTTTTCGATGAAAATTAAATTTTCGAAAATTTCGAAATTTTTTCGAACTTAATTTTTCTTGTCTAAAATCAAATTTTAACAACTTTAATTGCTTATCCCGTAGATCTTAATGTTTTTTCATGGGTTTTAGGTGATTTTTCGTTGGAAATTCAATGTTCGAAAATTTTGAACACTGTTTTTTTGTTTTAATTTCATTATAAACATATTATTTTGTCTTCTTATTCTTATCTGAGTAATTTTTTGAAAAAAAAAATCAATGTTCGAAAATAATTTTTTAATTCCGAAAATTTTCGAACATGATTTTTTTTTTTTTGCTTTTTATTAACTTTTAATATAAAATTAAGTGATTTGAAAGATTTCCTTAATTTTTGTTAATTTTTTTCGTACATAAATTTCCTGATTTTTTTTTCAAATATTTTTTTTAAACAAACAACTTTTTGTTGTTGTTTTTACTTTAGTAATATATAAGCTTATATTTATTTATATATAAAATTACCTATAATTTATTGTAATACTTAATCGATGAAAATCGTTAAGTAACAACCTATACATTCCATATATAATTTATTTGGAAAAAATTACAACTATTCTTAAAAAAAAAATAATTTTATATAAACTTATATATACTTACATATATTTTTTGTACTTTTTAATAAATATATATAAACTACGAGAAGAACCATGGCGTATGTGTCTTAACAAAATTTTCTATAGAATTTTCGAGTCAATTATTTATTTTTTTGATACGATTTTTTTTTGTTGAGATTTCTTTTTTTCCAGAGCCAAGAAAAAAATTCTCTCTTTGTAGAGAGAGAGAGGGGTTGGGTTGATCTCCTCTTCATAGTTATTTCTCTGAGAGCAAAAAATCATCATCATCATCATGAAGGCAGATAACTCAATAACCACCACCATCATCATCATCACAATCATCATTCATTTCAAACATCGCCGTTTAAGAACTCATTTAAAAAAATAGTCCCGCACCCAGCACCACCACCACCTAACCGCCAAGCTTTTATTTGCCATTGCTCATAACGCTCGCTCGCTTGCAAAAAATCAGCTAGTTTGGGGAGAGTAAATATTCGACCACTTCATCATCATCACCACCACCATCTCCGAATATCAAATCAAAAAAATTCATCCATCCACCACCACCACTAAAAAATCGCTATACCAAGTAACTGTAAATATCATAACATTTTTTCTAAAACAATTTTTTATTAATAATTTTCAAATAATTTTTATTTTAATTTTATTTTGTTGTAAACACATTAATACTTTTTTATATATGTTGCTAATTAAAAAAAAATAAAACACATTTTTTTAAAAGTGCTAAAATACGCATTGCTAAAAAAACACTACACTTTTTTTAACCACCATTTTTTAACTTGCTAAAACAAATTTACCACCACCAACAACAACAAAATAAAATTTATTTTTAATATTAAAAAATATATATTTATATATTATATTTATTAAAATATTTTTATATATATATAAACAAAATATTTTTAACTATAAATTTTTTATCACCAACATTTTTTTAAATAATTTTTTTCTCTTCTCTTTTTTTCTCTTCTCGTTTTTTTTTCTTTCATGTGTTTTTTTCTTTGGCCTCTCGTTCGCTCGCTCGCTGTGTCTGTACCTTTGGAATGTTTTCTTCTTTCGTTCGTTCCATCATTTTATTTTTGGTTATTATTTTAGCTTGCGGTGCCAGCAGCTGTTCATCATCATCCCTCTCGAATCCGGGCAACTCGTCGTCAAATTGTCAAACATCACCGCCACCTCCGCCTCCACAATCGTTAATTCGTGACTATTGGTATGAATTGAAATTTTCCGATTTATTCAAGTTCATCAATGCCGATGGTCGCTATCAGTGTCCACGCTATAATTGTTTAAAAAGTTACAAGGATGCCAGCTCTCTACAGCGACATATCAGGTGAGTCCACACAAATTCCATTACATTTTCTTATTAAATTTTGAAAATTAAAAGAGAAAATAAGAGAATTAGGGCCATTAAGGGACTTTTGAGAGAGAGAAAACTCGTTTGAGAGAGAGATGAAGAGTGAAGAGAGTTAAATGAGTGAGATTTTTTTTTTGTAAAATAAAGTAATTTAATTTTGTCATTCGAAAAATTGTGAATTTTAATCAAAAATCTTATGTTCGAATTTTCGAACATAATTTCGAAATTCGAAAAATGTTTTCAAATGATGGGAAATTAAGTTATAAATCACTTTAAATATATTTTTTCAAAAAAAAAAATTTTCGAATTTTCGAAATTCGAAAAATGCCTCTAACTTATGATGGTTTTAAACATATATTTTTTTCAATTATAAGACATTTCATTTAATTTTTATTCAAAAAATGAACATTTTGATCAAAAATCTTATGTTCGAATTTTCGAACATAATTTCGAAATTCGAAATATGCTTCCAAATGATGAGAAATATGGTTTTAAATGACTTTAAACAACATTTTTCAAAGAAATTACGAATTTTGACGAAAAATTTCTATGTTCGAATTTTCGAAATTAGAAAAATTCCTCCAACTTATGACAAATCCAAATATAGTTCTAAACATTTTTTTTAAGAAAAATTAAAAAAAAAAATTAGTTTCGAAATTCGAAAAATGTCTCTAACTCATGACAAATACAATTATAGATTGTTTTAAACCTTTTTATTAAAGAAAAATGAAAAAAAATCAAAAATTTTCCAGAAAATTCTTATGTTTGAATTTTCGAACATAGTTTCGAAATTCGAAAAAATGCTTACAAATGATGCGAAATTAGGTTATATATGGTTTTAAACATATTTTTCGAAAAAAAATTATTTTCGATAAAAAAATTCGATGTTCGAATTTGCGAACTTAATTTCGAAATTTTCTAATTTCCTGTAAATCATTAGAAATTAAGTTATAGATAGTTTTAGCAAGTTTGTGAACATTTCAAAAGAAATTCAATGTTTGAATTTTCGAAATTACATAAAATTTCTCAAAATACCAAATTTCTATTATAAAAATAAGCTGAATTTAAAAATCTTACGTTATATATTGTAATTTTCTATAGAATTGACATATATTTTTGTAATATTTCCTATCTTCGAATTTTCGAAATTGTTTTCGAAGTTAAAAAAAATTACTTAAAAACGTCTAAAATTAATCACTCACCACGGTCCTTCATATTTTCGGACGTTTTTTTTGAATTGTTGTAAGAAATTTCAATGTTCGAAACTAATTTCGAAAATGTTTAAAACTCATGATATAGCTTCGAAATATCTTTCGTTGCCATTTAATGACTATTTTATGTAAAAATAATATGTATATTTAATAAATTTTTTAAATTTTCAATGTTCGAATTTTCGAAATTTATTTCGAAAATTTTTAAAAATCCATATTTTGCTTCGAAATGTCTATATTTGTCTTCAAGTGGCTATTTTATGAGGAAATAGTGATTTGTTTTATAAAATTTCTATGTTCGAAAATTCGAACTTAATTTCGAAAATTTTTTAAAATCGATAATTTGCTTAGAAATGTCTTCTATTGCCTTATAATGACAATTTTATTAGGAAATTATGATTTTTTTTCTATTCAAATTTCTATGTTCGAAAATTAGAAGTTAATTTCGAAACCTTTTAAAATTCAATATTTTTCATTGAAATGTAATTCGTTGCCATTTAATGACTTTTTTTTAGTAAAAATAATATTTTTGTCACAAAATTTCTAGTTTCGAAAATTCGAAATTAATTTCGATTTTTTTTTTTTTAAATCAGAATATAGCATCGAAATGTCTTTCATTGCCATAATGATTATTTTATGAGCAAATTATGATTTTTATACTATTTTCGAACATAGAAAATTCGAAATTAATTTCGAAAAATTCTCAAAAGTCAATCATTTGCTTAGAAATGTCTTTCATTGCCTTAAAATGACTATTTTTAGTAAAAATAATATTTTTGTCACAAAATTTCTATGTTCGAAAATTCGAAATTAATTTCGAAAATTTTTAAAAGTCGAAAATTGGCCTAAAAATGACTTCCATTGTCTTATGAGAACTATTTTATGAGGAAATCATGATTTTCTTTATAAAATTTCTATGTTCGAAAATTCGAAATTATTTTCGAAAATTTGTAAAAGTCGATAATTTGCTTAAAAATGTCTTCTATTGCCTTATAATGACTATATTATGTAAAAATATTATATATTTTTCAAAATTTCGATGTTTGAAAATTCGAAATTAATTTCGAAAATTATTCAAAAGTCAATAATTTGCTTAGAAATGTCTTTTACTGTTTTATAAAGACTAGTTAGGAGGAAATCGTGTTTTTTTATACAATTTCTATGTTCGAAAATTCGAACTTAATTTCGAAAATTTTCAAAAGTTCATAATTTGGTTAGAAATTTCTTAAATTGTCTTCTTATGACTATTTTATGAGTAAATTATGATTTTCTTTATAAAATTTCTATGTTCGAAAATTCGAAATTAATTTCGAAAAATTTTTAAAAGTCGAAAATTTGCCAAAAAATGTCTTCCATTGTCTTATGAGGAGTATTTTATAAGCAAATCATGATCTTTTTTATAAAATTTCTATGTTCGAAAATTCGAAATTAATTTCGAAAATTTGTAAAAGTCGATAATTTGCTTAAAAATGTCTTCTAAAATCTTATAAAGACTATTTTATGAGGAAATCATGATTTTCTTTATAAAATTTCTATGTTCGAAAATTCGAAATTAATTTCGAAAATTTGTAAATTTCAAAATTTTGCCTAAAATTGATGCATAACTTCAAGGGAATGGGGTTTTTTAATTTTCTCTCTTACATTTCAATTGCTTCTCACGCTCTCTCTCTCTCTCTTACTCTCTTACTCTGCTATGATATTTTTTCCAAAAATATTTTTTTAGGTTAGTTAATTTTTTTCTTAGTTATCATACCACCCATCTGCTGCCCGTTTTATATATATCTCTATATATATGTATATTTCTTTATCCCTCCCCCAATTATAGATATGAATGTGGTGGTCAGAAAAAATTCCGCTGCCTTATGTGCGGTAAAGCATTTTCACAAAGCTCCCACCTAAAACGACACCTGGAGTCGGGTGTTTGTGTTAAATATTACTTATGAGATAATGTTTTCTTTAAAATAACATAGAATTAGCAAACAATTCATCATTATTATTATTATTACAACAATAATTATTATATCAACAACAACAACAAGAACAAATCGAACAAATATTTTAGAATGAAAAGAAAAATCATCGTAGCCAAGAAGAAGAAAATGAAGAAAAACACCAAAAAAATATTTATGAAAAAAATGAAAATATACCACAAAAAGTGTTGGAAAACAAAACAACAACAACAACAAGTCAATAAAACAACAAACATGAAAACCAAGTACCAAAAATTATAATACAAAAAACAAAAGAAACAGTACACAGCCGACATACATACACATGTTAGGTACACACATACAAATATATATTTAAATAGAGAGACATAATTTTGTGTAAAAAAATCCTTAAAAAATATTGAGCTGTTATAATTATTACCTTAACACATATATATTTTTTTGTTACCAACAACAACAACAACAAGAAATTATCTAAGTCAAGACAAAACCAAAACAACAACAACAAAAAATGTTAATTACATACATACAAAGAAACAAACATATATATACAGAGAAGATTTTTTGAAGGAACAAAACAAAAAAAGTAACCTCTTCATATCCTTAATATCCCAAAAATTCCCCCCTCAACATATACTCCGCTCCCTCACCCACCCCCCTCTAACCACCAAAATAGTTACAAAAAATATATAAAAAAAATAATAAAAAAAAATGGATAACAAAACGAATTTATTGGATGCCACATCATCATATTTTTTATGGAAATGAACATGAAAAAAAAAACAGTTTAAAAAAATGTTGATTAACAAATTACAAAAAAATTAAAAAAATATATATTGTTAATTTTTAATAGTCAATATAATATAATTATATAAATAATAACGATAGTAGTTAATTTTAAATTAACATTTAACAAAAAAGGAAAAAAACCAACAACCAAGTTAGATGAACTCAGCTAGGACATTTGATGAACAATATACATATATATATATGAAATATTTTAGTGGAAAATTAAAGTAGTCGGCCTCAGACGACTTTAAAATTAATTATATAACGACACTAACCCTCTGACCCCCCTCCAAAAACAAAATAGTTCAAAGAAACTGTCATTTTCGAAATTCTCTACCAAAACTTTGTACAAAGAAATATTTTTTTTTCTGAAAATTGGACTAGTCAAATATTTTAAGGATTACAACTTATTTTTCATTCACTGGAAGTTAAATATTGAAGAAAATAACTTTTTAAAGTTCTGAAAAAATCAGTGCCAAAAATACGGAGATATATCCTCTAATAATGAAACTATTTGATTTTTCTTTTGTGTAACCATTTTTCATTGGGCTAACTTTCAAAATTCTCAACCGATCGTTGTGAAATAACTTGATTTGGAATACTTATTATCTTGGCTACAAACTCTACACTGTCATATTTCTGTAGCCCCTCAAATTTGCAAGATATCGCCCAAATGTTAAAGTACGCAAAATGGCCTTTATTTTCGATGATTTTGCGTATCTGACTTGAGGAGTCAAAAATTTGAAACTACTTGAGGGATTGTAATGAAATTGGATTTTTTACAAAGATAACACAATACCCTCTAAATTTTATTCACAATGTTTTCCTATAGCTCTACAAATATCGGAGATATGGCTCCATGAATATGAGAAAATGTAAAATTTTTAGGGTGTAGAATTACTTCTCGGTAATCATTTTCCATCGGCCATAACTTTTCAATTTCTCAACCGATCTCTGTGAAATAACTTAATTTGGAAAGACAAATATATTGGCTATAAACTCTACACGAGCCGTATTTCTCTAGCTCCGCAAATTTTCAAGATATCGCCCAAATATTAAAGTACGCCAAATGGCCTTTATTTTCGATGATTTTGCGTATCTGTTCTGAGGAGCCACAATTTTGAAAATATTTAAAGAATATTATTGATATGAACTTTTTTGGAAAGATAATCAAATATCCTCCATGTTTTACTCGAAAAGTTTACATCTTGTTCCACAAATATCGGAGATATGGTACCACAAATATGAGAAAAGATCATATTTCTAGTGGCCGCAAATTTATTTCTGTGAACAGTTTTCAGTGACCATAACTTTAAAATTTATTAGCCGATCTCTATGAAATAAATTAATTTGTGGCGATAATTATCTTGGCTACAATCTCTACACAAGACGTATTTAACTATCTCCTCAAATTTTCAAGATATCGCCCAAATGTTAAAGTACGCAAAATGGCCCTTATGTTCGATGATTTTGCGTATCTGTGTTAAGGAGCCTCAATTTTGAAGATATTTAAAGATTATTATTGATATGAACTTTTTTGGAAAGATAACAAAATATCCTCTAAATTCTACTCGCAATGTTTTCCTATAGCTCCACAAATATCGGAGATATGACTCCATGAATATGATAAAATTTCAAATTTCCAGTATCCAGAAATTTATTTCTGTCAACAGTTTTCAGTGACCATAACTTTTAAATTTATTAAACGATCTTTATGAAATAACTTGATTTGGAATGATAATTATGTTGGCCACAAACTCTACACGAGCCGTATTTCGCTAGCTCCGCAAATTTTCGAGATATCGCCCAAATCTCAAATTACTCAAAATGACCTTTATTTTCGATGAATTTGCGCATTTGTCCAGAGGGACCATAACATTTAAAATTCTTAAGGGATATTTTTAAATTTGTACATTTTTGAAAGATGCCATAATACCCTCTAAATTTTACTCACAATGTTTTCCTATAGCTCCACAGATATCGGAGATATGGCCTCACAAATATGAGAAAATGTCAAATTTTTACGGTGTAGAAAATATTTTGTGTAAACATTTTCAGTGACCATAACATTAAAATTTGTCGGCCTATCTTTATCAAAGAGCTTGATTTTTGAAAGATAATTAACTTAGCTATAACTTCACCACGAATCATGTTACCCTAGCTTTGCAAATTGTCAAAATATCGCTCAATATTGAAAGTTATCAAAAATGCCTTGATATTTCCTTGCTTTTGTGCAACTACTTTAAGGCACCATAAGTTTGTGACTACTTAACGGATCTTTAAAATTATGGAGTTTTTTGAAAGATGAGAAAATACACTCGAAATGTTATTTGCAATATTTTCCCATAGCTCGAAAAATATCGGAGATATAGTCACATGAAAATGAAAATATTTTTGATATTCACTACCTTGAAATTTTTTTCGGTAATCATTTTCAAGATGGCATAACTTTTTCATTTCTTCATGGATCTTGATTAAATAACTTTATTTGGAACAACTAACATTTCTTCCATGTATTATCTATGGATCGTGTTACACTAGCTGCGAAAATAACGAAGATATCGCTCAAATATGAAAGTTACGGAAAGTACCCCATATTTCTTATGCTTTTGCGTATTGGCTTTGAGGGGTCATAACTTGGGAGTTTTTTTGACAGATATAAATGAAATTGGCTTTATTGGAAAAATATGGAAATTAGCATGCAGCTTAATGCAAATTTTTAGCCCATAACTTCACAATAATCGGAGATATAGTGCCATGAAAATAAAAATATTGATCATTTTCAGTGTCTTGAAATTTTTTTCAGTAATGTCTTTCCGATGGGCATAACTTTTAAAATTTCCATTCGATTTTTATGAAACATCATGAATATGAAAGATAGATATATCCTCTATAAATTTTTTTCAATTTATATTTTTGTAGCCCTTACAATTTTCAAGATATCGCGCAAATTTGAAAGTCACCCAAAATACCCCATATATTTCATACTTTAGCGTATCATACTTTTTGATCAATAATTTTAAAATTTATTATTGGATCATAATAAAATTTGTATTTTTTTGGAATGATAAAAGTTTAAACAAGATTTTCTTTTAATATTATGTATCCATAACTCAACAAATTATCGAAATATCGTTCAAAATGTTAAGTTACCAAAATTACAGAAAAATGGCTTTACAATAGAAGACAATTTTTTCTCCCTCGCCATTGATTTCTTTTCGGGTTTTCAAAATTATTTTCTCTTCAATATTTCTTCCTCTTTAAATTCCCTGTGCCAAAGACATTTTTATTTTAAATTTTAATATCATTTTTTCGGAAAATATTTCAAAAATATCACATGAAACCCCAAATATGAAATATTTAGTACAATGAAATATTTTGTCAAATTGATAAACCAAATTCATTGCAAGTGATAAAAGTTTTGTTTGAAAATTTTTTTAGTCAATTTTGCTAGGAAAAATCCCCAATTGTTATAGAAAGAATAGTAATAAAAAAATTCAAAAAGGCAGTTTATATATATGAAAGAATGAAAAAAATCAAGAAACATTTAAAACAAATAATAACGGAACCGAAACCAACAACAACAACTTTACATATACATATTTATATATATGTTATATATATTTATTATAAGGAACAAATTAGTTATTTAAAACGTACTGTGTTTATTTGTTGCCAAATATATATACACGAAGAAACATATTACACCCGACAAGAACCAGAAACAACAACAACAACAACTCTTTTTGAAAGGAGAACATGATGAAACTATATATATTATATAAATTAATATATTTAATTTATATACAAATACATACAAAAACTATAGTTCTATATATATAAATGATGTAGGGCAAAGTAACAAAAAAACTGAAAGTAACTTATATATACTCAAAACATCACATACATAGATCGTTATATATATATATATATATATTTAGGAGAATCAAAGAAAGATGGGAAGGCTCGATTATAACCAAAACTGAACTGGCATTGCCAATTAATGTGGCCCAAATGCAAATTTTCAAGATATCGATCAAATTTGGAAGTTATCTAAATGGCCTGATATTTTCCATGATTTTGCGTATCTGCCTCGGGGAGCCATAAAATTGGAACTACTTGGCGGTTAGTTGTGAAATTGGAGTTTTCGGAAGGACAACAAAATGCTCCATAAATTTTATTCACATTATTTTCCTATAGCTCCACAAAAATCGGAGATATAACCTCATGAATATGAAAAAACTTGAAATTTTTGGTACCAAGAACTGTTTTTCTT